GCAAATACGGATGCCACTGTATCGATATTAACTAAATGTAAATGGACTAAAATCATCAATAAAAAGACATGGAGTAGCAGGATGGATTAAAAACAGAACTCAACCTTTTGCTGTCTACAGGAAGCACATTTAACTGCAAAAGATAAACATGGATTGAAAATAAAAGGAGGGAAAACAACCCTACAAGCAAATGGGCTAAAAAAGAAGACAGGAACTCCTATTCTTATGTCAGATAAATTAGACTCCAAACAAAAAGGTAAAAAGAGACATAAATGGTCACTACATAGATGTAGTGATTAAGGGGACAATACATAAAGAAGACATAACACAATCAACATATACTCACTAAATACAGGAGCACCAAAATATATCAGACAATTACTATCATTTCTGAAAACAGACATTAGAGAAAGTACATACGTAGTAGGAGACTTCAACACACCACTCTCACCAGTGGGTAGATCAAAGAGACAAAAACTAAGCAAGGACACTAGAGCTCTGAATAAGGACCTAGAACTCCTGGACTTAACAGACATCTATCGGATATTGCACCCAAATGAATCTGAGTATACATTTTCCTCAAGCGCCCATGGATCATTCTCCAGGATCAATCACATACTGGGTCACAAGACAAACATCAACAGATATACTAAGATCAAAATCATTCCAGCTATCTTCTCTGACCACAAAGGCATCAAACTAGAAGTAAACCATGGAGAGAAAGCAAGAAACCCTCCTACCTCATGGAGATTGAAACCCACACTACTGGAACATCATTGGATCAGTGAGATCAAAGAAGAAATTCAAAAATACCTGAGATGAACAACAATGAGAACACAACTCTCCAGACCATATGGGACACAGCAAAAGCAGTTATATGAGGAAAATATATAGCAATACAGGCGCACATCAAGAAACAAGAAAGGGGCTCCCTGGTGGTGCAGGTGGTTGACCACGGTGCTGTGAAGCTGTCCTCAACCTCTGCAGTGCCGGTTCAATCCCCGCTGGCTGCAGAGCAACCCACATGGCGCAGCAGACCTCTCCTGCCTCACCCGCTGCTCCCCTCAACAGTGTATTTCAGTCAGTCTGCCTGTTCTGTCTACTCTGTCTCTGGTGAATCCTCTCACCCCCCACACCTCTGGCCTGTACCCCAGTTCTTGTATGCATAAATAAATCTTAAAAAAAAAAAGAAACAAGAAATAACTCAAAGAAACAACCTAATTTCCCACCTTAAAGGACTAGAAAAAGAATTAAACCCCAAAAGTCAGTTGAAGAAAAGAAATAATAAAAAAGCACAAATAAAGTTAAAAAAGCAATCCAAAAAATCAATGAAACCAAAAGTTGGTTCTTTGAAAAATAAACAAAATAGACAAATCTCTAGCTAGACTCACAAAGAAAAAATGAGAGAAAGCATAAATAAATAGGATTGTATGAAAGGAGAAATTACAACAGATATAGCAGAAATCAAAAGAATGATCAGAGATTACTATGAACAGTTATATGCAAACAAGTTCAACTATCTAGATGAGATGGACAAATTCCTAGAACTATATAATCATCCAAAGCTAGATAAAGAACTAGAACACCTACAGACCAATTACAGTTAATTTATAGCAGTAATCAAAACCCTCCCCCAAAACAAAAGCCCAGGACCAGATGGCTTCACAAATGCATTCCACAATGTATTCAGAAACGAACTAATGCCTGTCCTACACAAACTCTTTCAAAAAATTGAGAAGGAAGGAATACATTTTATGAAGGCAACATAACACTAATACCCAAACCAAACAAGGACAACACACAAAAAAGAAAACTATAGGGCCACCGTGGTGGTGCAGGGGTTAAAGACAGCACTATCAAGTTATTGCCAGCTACTGCAGCACGAGTTCCATTCCAGGCCTGCCAGGGAGAAACCCACATGGCACAGCAGACCTGTTTCCTGCTGCTCCCCTCAGCAGTGTATTTCAGTAGATTCGCCTGTTCTGCTCCCCACTCTGTCTTTGGTGAATCCTCTCGCTTATACCCCAGTTCTTATATGCATAAATAAATAAATCTTTTTTTTTTTTTTTAAGAAAACTACAGGCCAGTCTCTCTAATGAACAGTGATGCAAAAATTCTGAATAAAATCCAAGCCAAGGGCCTCCCCTGGTGGTGCAGTGGTTGATCGCTAGGCTCTGAAGCTGCCCACAGTGCCGGTTCCATCCCCGGCGCAGGCAAGGGTCTCACATGGTGTGCAGACCTCTCCTGCCACGCCCGCTGCTGCCCTCAGCAGTGTACTTTGTCAGTCTGCCTGTTCTGCTCCCCGCTCTGGCTCTGGTGAATTTGCTCACCCTCCCGCGCTTCTGACTGTACCCAGTGCTTATATAAATAAATAAAATAAATAAATAAATAAATAAATAAGTAAATAATTTTTTTTTTTAAATCCTAGCCAACAGAATCGAACAATGCATCAAAAAGATAATTCACCATGACCAAATGGGATTTATTCCAGGGTCACAAGGGTGGTTCAACATCCAAAAATCAACTAATGTGATCCAACACAGCAATGAAAAGAAAAATAAAAACATGATCATATCAATAGATGCTGAGAAAGCATTCAACAAAGTTCAACATCTGTTTATGATGAAGACCTCGAAATTCTCGAAATAAAGGGAACATACCTTAACATAATAAAGCCATATATATGACAAAACCATAGTCACTATCATTCTCAATGATGAAAAGGTGGAAGCCTTTCCCTTAAGATCTGAAACAAGGGCATCCCTGGTGGTGCATAGGGTTAAGTCTCAGCACTACGAAACTATCTGCAGGCACTGCAACATGAGTTCAATCCCCAGCCAGGGACTTAATCCATATGGCTCAACAGACTTCTCCTGTCTCACCTGTTGTATTTCAGTCAATGCACCTGTTCTGTTCCCCACTCTGTCTCTGGTGAATCCTCTCACCCCACGCACATCTGGCCTGTATCCTGGTTCTTGCATGCATACATAAATAAATCTTTAAAAATAAAAGATCTGGAACAGACAAGGATGTCTATTCTCACCACTGCTTTTTAATATAATACTGGAAGTTCTAGCCAGAGCAATAAGACAAGAGAAAGACATACAAGGAATCCAAATAGGGAAAGAAGTAAAACTATCACTATTTGTAGGCAACCCGATAATATACATAGACAACCCTAAAAACTGCACAGAAAAACTAATCAAAATAACCAGTTTAGCAAAGTAGCAGGATACAACATCAACACACAAAAATCAGTAGCCTTCCTATATGCAAACAATCGATATGAAGAAATCAAGAAAACCTTCCCTTTTATAATTGAAACAAAAAAAATGATATATATGGAAATAAACCTAACAAAAGAGGTGATGGAACTATGCAAGGAAAATTTTAAAACATTGTTAAAAGAAATAGAAGACACTAAGAAATAGAAAGCCATCCCCTGCTCATGGATTAGAAGAATTAACATTATCAAAATGGCCATCCTACCAAAAGCAATTTCCATATTTAATGCTATTCCAATAGCAATATCAATGACGTTCTTCAAAGAGATAGAACAAATATTGATAAAATTCATATGGAACAAAAAAAAAAAAAAACCATGACTAGCCAACACTCTCCTAACTAAAAAGAAGGAGAATGGAGGTATCACACTCTCAGACTTCAAACTATACTACAAAGCCATAATAATTGAAACTGTTTGGCACTAGAGCAAAAACAACACACAGACCAATGGAACTGAATAGAAAACCCAGAAATAAACACACATATTAAGGGCAACTAATCTTTGACAAAGAAGCAAAGAATATGCAATGGAACATGGACAGTTAGTTCAGTAAATGGTGCAGGGAAAACTGGACTGCTACATGCAAAAGAATGAAGCTCACATGTGCAAAAACCAACTCAAAATGCATAAAGAATTGAACATAAGACCTGAAACCTTAAAATGCATAGATGAAAATATAGGTAAAACACTACATGACATACACCTCAGTAACATATTTAAACACATATCCCCCAAAGCAAAGAAAGTGAAGGAAAAGGTGAGCAGCTGGGACTACCTCCAATTAAAAAGCTTCTGTACAGCAAAACAGACATTAACTAAAACAAAGCAATACCCTACTGACTGAGAGAAAATTTTTTATCTCAATACTAACAAAGAACTCACACTGATAAGGGACTGATCACAAAGATCTACAAAGAACTCACATGACACAATCCAGTCAAAAAATGGGCAGAAGAGCTAACAAGACACTTCTCCAAAGAGGAAATGCAAATGCCCAACAAGTACATAAAAAATGTTCAAGATCACTTGTAATTAGGGAAATGCAAATCAAAACCACAATGAAATAGCACTTACACTAGCGAAAACAGCATATACTAAAAGACAGTCAACAGGGCCTCCCCTGTGGCGCAGTGGTTGAGCACTGGGTTGCAAAGCTGCCTGCAGCCTCTGCAGCGCCGGTTTGATCCCCGGACACCAGCGAGGGTCCCACATGGCGTGCAGACCTCTCCTGCCACCCACTGCTCCCCTCAGCAGTGCACTTCGTCAGTCTGCCTGTTCTGTTCCCCGCTCTGGCTCTGGTGAATTCTCTCACCCTTCCGTGCTTCTGACTGTACCCCAGTGCTTGTATAAATAAGTAAATCTTTAAAAAAAATAAATAAAAACAATCAACAGCAAATGTTGCTAAGGATGTGGTGAAAAAGGAACTCTCCTAAGCTGTGTGGAGATTTCTGGACCTACTAAACATAGAGCTTCCATATGATCCAGCAATTCCACTCCTAGGTATTTACCCAAAGGACACAGAAACATCAATTCCAAAGATCACCTGCACCCCTATGTTTATAGCAGCACTGTTTACAATAGCTAAGCTTTGGAAACAACCCAAATGCCCAAAAATAGATGACTGGATCAAGAAGATGTGGTACATATATACCATGGAATATTACTCAGCATTCAAAAAAGATAAACACATGCAATTTGCAGCAACATGGATGGCGCTGGAAGGGATCATGCTCAGTGAAATAACCCACTAAATAACTTTAAATAGCATCAAGGGTTTTCCTGATAATGCTGCTTTGTGAACCATTTGCCTCCCAAGAAATGCTCCTATTTCCTTTCCTTGTAGAATTGGATGCATCACCCTCCCCGCACAACAATGTGTTCCTACTGGGAAGCTCCTCTGAATAATATCCACAGTCTTTATTGGGGTTTTACCATGTTGGCATGAGGAATTAAATCACTGGCCACATGACTGAACAAAAAGTCAGCTTGTCTTCAATTCCTGGTGGTCAGACAGCTTGAAGTCCCTGTTCTCTACCCCCATGCTAAAGGTACCTAGAGGCTAATTAGTTACTGCCTTACTATTACAATGACTCTCCTATCACCCAGGAAATCCTTAAGGTCTTTGAAGTTCAATGCCAGGAACCCAGCACAAGGACCAGACAAATTATTTATGACACCACAGTCTCCAATCTGCATCCCAGCCAGGAAAAAAGAGTCAAGAAGGCCTTATCCCTTTCCTTTAAGAGCACGATGGGCAGCTATACAGGCTGCTCCACTTCTATCTCAATTGCCTCCTTGAGCTGCAAGGAGGCTGGGAATGTAGGTCTTTACCTTGACAGCTAACAACTGAAAACATACTATTTTTAAGAAAGAAGGGAAGATTGACTATTCAATAGGCAACCGGTTGTATTTAAAATATGCATAGAACTCACTCAAAAGAATAGAGAAAAACACAAAAGGAAGAAAGAACTTTTTTCACTGCAGTCTCTGTGGAAGTTGAGATGTCGAGGAACCACTAAACCACTAGTGTGGCTGTGAGCAGTTTCTATGGCAACCAATGCCAGTGTCCTGGACCCCAACCATGAAATTTGGCAGTGGCAACTAGTAGTAGAGCTGAGTGTGTCTATATCAGAGACAGGGTTACTGTGTGTGGTATCTGCAGCGTCAGCAGAGATCACCCCAGTAGACAGCAGGGAAAAGACAATGGCAAACATCTCATGGAACAACTAGAAGGAATGGGCTGCTGCCTGAGTGAAAGGCTTTGCAGCTGGGTAGGCAGAACCCAATAAAACAGCCCCATCACTGACAAAAAACTTCCCTCAGAGGGGTGAAGATGGAGTCTAAGAACCAATGATTTGTGATCGTTATTAGGATATTTTTACTCTGAGGCCATGTGGCCACAGAAATCTCCATTTTAGAATTTTGTTCAAATGTTCTTGAACAACAGGACTGAACATTTTAGTGAGTGACTGGTGTCTCGACTGACCCACTTCCCTTTCTTTCAGGAACTGCTCACCCTCACACCCCAAGCGTAACGACAACCACGTCCCTTTGCTCTGACCACCGGGATGGGTGCGGGCCTCCCCCTGGGAGAGGGCATTCTCTCCCGTGAACTGGATTCTTGTGTACAGACCCGCAGGCGCTGACTGTGCGTGCAGCCCAGCCCTAAGGGCAGCCCCTCAAAGCCTCAACTCACAGGCGATTGGCAGTGCCGGGCCTTCTGCCACCCTGGAGTCTGCTTCTTCAGCTCTTCCTTTGGTTGTGTGTGTTCTCCAGTATGTATCTGAATTTTTATTTTTTTCCTATTGCTGCTGTGGAATCACCACAAACTTAAAGAACCGACATGGATGCTCTTGCTGTTTGGGGGTCATCCATGTGACGTAAACCTCATTAGCGTGTCCATTGGGTCGCTTTTCCTTTTGGAGGCTCTTGGGGATCATCCATTTCCTAACTCATTTGGGTTGTTGCCAGAATTCAGTTCTCTGAGGGTATAGGACTGAAATCTGTGTTTCCTCTGCTGTTAACTAAGGCCAATTCCCAGTGCCCAGGGATCACCCATGTTTCTTATGACTTGGCCATTTCTTACTTCTTACTTCGGTATTTGCTTAATGGTAAAAAGATTTATATTTGGAATTAGCCCATGGGATTCCATTTCGAAGATCCCTGTTTTGTTGGCAGCATCCGAAGCGTTATAGGAGCCAGTTGTACACATACCTTCATCTCTCCATCAGGTCTGATCAGACCATTGACCTGGCCAGTCAATGTCATAGAGTTTCCTCACAGCTGGTGAGATCTGGTGCTTGTTGGATGTTGGGCGTCATCTGCAAAGAACAGATCTGCTCATGTCTTCACTCTTCTTCATGGCTGACTCAGTCGTCAGGGGAGCTTGACAAAACAGTGGTCAAGACTGTTTTCTCTGGGGGTGCTTTTGTGAGATATTTGGCTGCCTTAGGAACTGGAGTGCCCATTGGAAGGTGAGTGATACGTGACCCCTCTTCTTTGATTATTTTTCCTTTTTTCGGTGGTTGTGGTGTCCTTCCAGGACTGCTTTCCTGGCCTTCAAGGTTTTTGCTTTGGCTTCAGCTGTGGGAGGGGCAGGTCCTTCTTTGCTTTCAGTGCCATCTTCATGAAAAAAATCTTTCTCCAATATATTTTTAAAAGATTTATTTATTCATGCATATAAGAACTGGGGTACAGGCCAGACGCATGGGAGGGTGAGAGGATTCACCAGAGACATAGCGGGGGAACAGGCAGACTGACGAAACTCACTGCTGAGGGGAGCGGTGGGCGACACAGGAGAGGTCTGCCGCGCCATGTGGGAATCTCCCTGCCTGGCCAGGATCGAACCAGCACTGCAGAGGCTGTAGACAGCTCCACAGCACTGCGTTCAACCGCCTGCGCCACCAGGGGAGGCCCTCTTTCTCCATTATTAAAGCTAGCAGGTGTCTGAGTCCGTCTCACATTTTGAATCTCTTCTAGCCCATCTAAATGGTAACAGCAGGAGAGGGTCTTTTGCTTTAAACTTAAACAGGGCCCACCCACATAATTCAGATGACGCTCCCTATCTCAAAGTCCACACCTGTAGTTACAGCTGTAGGTTCCTTTTTGCCTTTTGAGGCTCCAGGTGTGAGAGTGTGGGCATCTTTCGTGGGCCATTGTTCTACATGCCGATTAATCCCCAGAATTCCAGGAACTGATTTCTAGATCAACCTTGCTTCTATTCAGCTCTCTGACACTGGCTCGGATACTTCCTCTTCTGGTGAGCCTCACTGGCAGAGCTGCCCTAGTAGCTGACATGGGGCAGATGGGCAGATCAGCTTCCCAGAGGCATCAGGCTAGATTGCACTGGATGGCAGAACTGAGGCTGCTCCTAGAAGGGGAAGTTAGAAAGGCAGAGCAAGAGCACTGGAGTGGGGTACCCCCACAAAGGCAGGAAGAGGCTGGGCGTTTGGAGCTTAACATGGTGAATGTCAGCCACACCGTGAGTGGCAGGTCATACAGCATCAGGGAACAGGCAGGTCAACAGGTGGCAGGGTTGGCTCACACCCCCACTCTCGAATGACTCCAGACACCTTTTCATGCCCCCGGGCTCCTTTTGACCTAGTGGCCTTGTGACCTAAGGCCCCCCAAGCAGTGAGGTTGTGACCCATTCCCATATACCTTACTTCCCTTTCCCCACCACACAGAGGTGCACAGTAGGTGCTCGCCCAGGAGCAGAGATGTGCTCCAGCCTGTCCCTGCACATCCTACAGGCTTTATTTTGCAAGCCCCCAAGGGTTCCCACTGCTCAGCTTTGATCATACTTTTGGTCAGTGAAAGCTCGAGTTGGGTCCAGTCCCTTCAGGAAGCAGGTGATCCACAGAGACTTCCGTGGCAAGCTCTCTTGGATCTGGACAAGGGGAAATACAGGGGACCTGGCAAATCTGTGAAGGCCTTACCCTTTCCCTCATTCACAGATCTCCAAGTCATTTGGCTTCTCTCATAATACCTGAAATGTCCTGCTCAAAATCCGATGCCCAGCCCTCTTTTTCCAGAAAGCTAACCTTAAGAAAAATCACCTGCTTTAAGAGAAACCAACTTAACGTGATAGTCACCTTTGGAGGCCTGATTCTTGGGGTCCAGTGTTCTTGTGAAGTGTCTTCAGATGACTCTCAAGCTGGCAATGCTGCCTCTCAGCATGTGAGTATACCTTGCTCTTTCTTTTTCTCCATGCCCATGCTATTTTCATCTACCTCAATAGTCACCTCTTTGTGGCTATAATACCATTAACCAGATATTGGTTAGCTCCTCTGTTTACCTTCTTGGCTCAATCTCTAATCCCTTCACTGTTCCTCAACCACCCTTGCTGCTCTTTTAGTTCTTTACCCCTCAGCTCTGACAACATCCTAGCCCCCTCCCATATGTCATACTGCCCACCATGACAGAAAGAAAGGAAGATAGGAAGGAAGGAAGGAAGGAAGGAAGGGAGGGAGGGAGGGAGGGAGGGAGGGAAGGAGGGAGGGAGGAAGGAAGGAACTGAGCAGGGACGCAAGAAAAGACATGGGAAAAGGGAGGCACGAGAGTTTGTCAGGAGCCAGGCTATGTCCCAGATTTGTGGAAGAGAAATGGAAAGCACTTCAGTTCAGTCCCTTACCAGGCTGAAGTTAAGTCCTTAGCCAGTTCTCTTGACCAGTGCACCGACCAGGGGCACGTACACAGGCAGAGAAGCCCTCTGGGTGCCAGAAATAGACACTCCCAAGGTTTCTGAGTGGAGGAACTGAAAGCAAAATGTGGAGGGGATGGAGAGACATTTTACAATATTGACAAATGTTTGTTTTTTATTTTTTCTCATTTTATGAATTCTGCCCACCAAAAATAATATGTCCATTGTAGCAATGGTGCGTCTGTATTATCCCAACAAAAATGAATGCTGGACTTGAACTCTTGATCCACCATTGCATCACTTGATCACTGCAGCCTTGAAAAGTTGAGATGGCACATATGGGGACAGGGGATTGGCTTCCCTCAAGTGCCTATGGGCCGGGGAGTGAAATCAAATGGGCCTGGATTCTGGAAATCTACAGGACCAGAGAACAACAACAACATAAGTGAACTTGGCCAGATCATTGAATATATGGTCATTATATAAAAGCCAATTGTATATCTATAAACTGAAGGTGAACTTTCAGAAAATGAATTTTTTTGCCATTTAAAATAGCAACATTTAGGGCCTCCCCGGTGGCGCAGCGGTTGAGCGCTGGGTTGCGAGGCTGCCCTCTGCCTCTGCGGCGCCGGTTCGATTCCCGGCTGCTCCCCGGCCACCGGAGGAGGGTCCCACATGGCGCGCAGATCTCTCCTGCCGCCCGCTGCTCCCCTCAGCAGTGTACTTCGGTCCTTCTGCCTGCTCTGCTCCCCGCTCTGGCTCTGGTGAATTCTCTCACCCTCCCGCGCTTCTGACTGTACCCAGTGCGTGTATAAACAAAACAAACAAACAAATAAAATAAATAAATAAAAGCATGCCTCTATTTAAAAAAAAATAAAATAAAATAAAATAGCAACATTTAAAATATTCAGGGGTAAACATAACAATGTATGTAAGACCTACGTAAGTGAACTCTCATAAGATGTACTAAGAGAAATGAAAGAATGAAATTAATAGTGATATATACCTTGAACTTGGATTCGATGATTAACTGTTAAGGGGCTCCTTGATTTGTTCTATAGATTGAGCAAAATCACAATGAAACCCCAGCAAATTTTTTTTTTGGCAGAAATTGTCAAGTCAATTTTCAAAAGTAAATGGACATGTATATACATATGAGAATTCTGATTGAGTTTTCAGTCCAACTTGGTGAGGGCTTAATGGTCAAGCTGCGCACCTTTAAGTAGATGGAGATACATGGTAGATATGGACCATGGTAGATATGAATACCATCTCCATGGTTGTCAAGGAGATATACATTTTAGAGTCAGGAAATGCAATAGACTAAAATGAGTCCAAACATCTTGGCAATGAAGATAAAGTCTGAGGGTTTCTTTCCCTGAATTCAAGTCTTTCAAGCTATAGTAACTTGGACAATGTGGTTTTGCAGTATGGATAGATGTGTTGTTCAATGGAAGTGAATAGAAAATCTAGAAATAACTCCCCTAATATATGACTAAGTGTGTTTCAAAGTGGTACAAAGGTAATTCAATGGGAATAAAATCACTTTTAAAATACTTGTTCCTGAAACAATTGGATAGTTGTGGGGGGGGGGAATTGACTCATAACTTAAACCATAAATAAAAATTAACTCATCCTGAATTATGTTCAAAGAAAGGAAAAAGAAGTAATGCAATCATTTCAATTTCTGAGTTGTTATAGAAATATTAGTAAAAATGTATTATGACACAAGGCTTTATGAAAATGCCTCGTGACAAGGCAAAGATAAACAGCTGGGATTACATCAAACTGAAAAGCTTCTGCACAGCAAAAGAGACATTAACCAAAACAAAGAGACACCCCACTGATTGGGAAAAAAATCTTTGCACTCCAGTCAACTGATAAGGGAATGACCACAAAGATATATCAAGAACTCACACAGCTCAACAAAAACAAAATAAACAATCCAGTCAAGAAATGGGCAGAAGAACTTAAAACACATTTCTCCAAAGAGGAAATGCAAATGGCCAACAGGCATATGATAAAATGTTCAACATCACTTGTAATCAGGGAAATGCAAATTAAAACCACACTGAGATACCACCTTACACCAGTGAGAATGGCACATATCAAAAAAACAAGCAACAACAAATGTTGGTGAGGATATGGTGAAAAAGGAACTCTCCGACATTGCTGGTGGGAGTGCAAACTGGTCCAACCAATGTGGAAATCTGTCTGGAGGTTCCTCAGTCTACTAAAAATGGAGCTACCATACGATCCAGCAATTCCACTCCTACGGATCTACCCAAAGGACACAAAAACATTGATCCAAAGGAATACCTGTACACCTATGTTTATTGCAGCACTATTTACAATAGGTAAAACCTGTAAACAACCCAAATGCCCAAAAATAGATGACTGGATCAAGAAGATGTGGCATATATACACAATGGAATACTATTCAGCAATCAAAAAAGATAAACTCATGCCGTTCTCAGCAATGTGGATGGAGCTAGAAGGAATGATGCGCATTCCTGAAATAAGCCAGAAGGAAAAAGAAAAATATTGGATTATTTCACTTATCGCAGGAATATAGGGGAACCCAATAAGACATCAGTGTAAAAAAATAATAACAGTACAAAACACAACAAAGCAAAATCAGACAATTATAAATCAGTCATGCTGCAGGGGAGGAGGCGGGAGAGGGATCAGAGAGAGGGAGGGAGGAGCACAGGGGACTGAGGTGATGGTGCACGGGTGCCTTGGGGAAAGAAACTCTATGGGAGCTACACTTGTGGGGGGGAGCAAATACTGTTTCAAAATGAACAATGATGTAAAAAAGTAAAAAATTAATTAATAAAAAAATTGAAAAAAATTATAAAAAAGAAAACACCTTGTGACAAAGAGGTCATGTAAGAAGTTCTTGCCCATCATGCATGTATATAGGATATTTTATTTTTGATAAATTAATAGATTTTAAAATATCTCTAAGTAACTATTTCATGTGCTGTATGGTACAAATAGTAGAAAGAATACTTTTATAATTTGCAGTCCAACTTTATGAGAATAATAAAGGTCTAATTCTTGCACCTTTACCTTTATCCAACTTATGTGGCAAGATGCTATATGGAGCATCCGTGTGTTTATTTGTCACATATTTATCTAATGCCTTGTGAGTCAGACATTATTCTGGGCAGTAGGGATATAGCAGTGAACAAAACAGACCTCTATCATGACACTTAAGGATTAGTGCTGTCTACAAATGGAAATTTATATAAATAGAAAATTATAGTGTTTAGCAATTTAAGTTAAACTTAAAGTGTAATAAAAGAATAAGGGCCTCCCCAGTGGTGCAAGGGGTTAAGTCTCAGCACTGTGAAGCTATTGGCAGCCACAGCAGCACACGTTCCATACCTGACCAGGGAACCAACCCACATGGCGCAGCAGACCTCTCCTGTCTCCCCGCTGCTCCCCTCAGCAGTGGATTTCAGTAGATATGCCTGTTCTGCTCCCCACTCTGTCTCTGGTGAATCCTCTCACCCTCCACACGTCTGGCCTGACCCCAGTTCTTAGATGCATAAATAAATAAATCTTTGAAAACAATGAGAATTAAAAGAAAAAGAATTGAAGGAGTAGTAAAAATGACCAGAAAACATAACACAGTGAACTAATATCTATAACTGCTAATAGCAATGTTAACTTAACACACTATGAGAGTTTGGTAGCTGAATAAATTTTGCCAATTCTTGTAGATGTGCTGCCAAATGCAGTGAAAGTTTTAAATTTTATTAAAGTAAAAGAAACTTGCTGAAGAGCCAGATGGGAGACGGGACCCACTGACTGTATCCTATTCAAGTCAAGGTGAGGAACAACGCTAATTAAGCAAGGGATGTCAGAGCAAGAAGAATCCCATTTTCAAGTGAAAAACAATGTCATTTGACAAGTTTTTATAAAAAAGATTTTATTTATTCAGGCATACAAGAACTGGAGTATAGGCCAGAGGTATGGGGGTGAGAGGACTCACCAGAGACAGAGTAGGGAGCAGAACAGGTGGATTGACTGAAATACACTGCTGAGAGGAGCAGCGGGTGAGACAGGAGAGGTCTGCTATGTCATATGTGGGTCAGCCCCCTGGCTGGGGATCAAACTCAGGGGACTGAACTCAGGCCAAGGTGGCTGGCAATAGCTCCAAAGCTCTGGGATAACTCTTGTGCCAGCTGGGAGGCCCTTGGCAAATATTTTAAAGGTGATATCCAGGCAGCAAAATTAGCATCACTAGTTAATTTTTTGTTGTTTTTCATAAATTAAATTTGAAACCAAAGAAGCGGCATGATTTCCACATGTTCAAAAATAATTAAGGGCTCAAAAGAATTTATTGTTACAGGGCCTCCCCTGGTGGTGCAGTGGTTGAGCGCAGGCCTGTGAAGCTGCCTGCAGCCTCTGCAGCGCTGGTTCGATCCCGGGCCACTGGCGAGGGTCCCACAAGGCGCATCAGACCTCTCCTGCCACGCCCGCTGCTCCCCTCAGCAGTGCATTTCATCAGTCTGCCTGTTCTGTTTCCCGCTCTGGCTCTGGTGTATTCTCTCACCCTCCTGCGCTTCTGACTGTACCCAGTGCTTGTATAAATAAATAAATAAATCTTTAAAAAAAAAAAAGAAAGAATTTATTGTTACAGCAAATAAAAAAAAAAAGCCTAAACAAAAAGTGATTGCCCTGGTTACAATATGAAGAAACTGCTACAGTGAAGATATTTTGAACAAACACAATTAGAGATTTTGTTACATTAGCTGCAAACTTTTGTTTGTTGCTTTGCCCAAGAACAATTTGAAATGTTAAAAGAAAAATATTTAAATAAAATATCCGTTGGCTGATAGTTGAATTAAATGTAGAGTCTGAAGAATAAGCTGATTTTTCTTACATTGAAGCATGATTGTAAGACATTAAGTAAGATGAAAAATTTTCAGTTGTTAAGTGAAAAGAATGTATTGCTATGCTACTCACAGTTCGCGGTCTACTTGTGTGGACCTCGATTTTAATCCCTGACCTAGTAAAAATCAATAGGGCCTTTAAGAAGATGAGAAAGTGAAGCCTGTTAAGATAGTTCCTAATCCAATCTGATTGATGGTCTTATGGGAAGGGCAGATAAGGGCAGAGGGATTGCAGGGAGGTATACAGCACAGAAGAAAAGCTGTGTGCAAGCCACAGAAAGAGCCCCAAGAGGAAACCACACTTGCCAACTTCTTGATCTTGGAACTCCAGCCTCCAGAATTGTGAGAAAATAAAATTTCTGCTGCTTAAGTCACATGGTCGGGGATATTTTGTTATGGCAGCACAGGCAAGCAATACACTATACATGCACTACCTATGACACAGTGTCAATTGTGTGGGTGTGTATGTGTATGTGTAAGATACATTTCTTTCTCTTTCCATACGCATGGGGCTTGTGTGTCTGACATAACATATCTCTGTTACATATCTGGAATTCTTAGAATTGTGTATCAAACCTCAGTGATGTCCAGTTTTTCCCTTTCAGCCTGTAAACTATCAAGGAGAAAAGTGAATATTCTCAAAAAAAAAAAAAAAACAAAACATTTATAGCAAAGCACATATAAACAGGCTACTCATAGGTTATTTATTTGGTTTATAGGTGCAGAAATTTTTGTAAATCCCAATTTTGGCTTTTATGTTGGAAGTTTAGTTTTTATTGGGTCAG